AAAAGGGGAGAAACATGAGTGTAGATAGTGGTATTACCAAAAAAAAAGATCTTTCACATCTTGTCTATCAGGACACGATTTAAGACATTAAAAAACTCAACCAGCAAGCACAATTAAAACATGATTACATTTGCATTTGACATCAAGGTGTTGAGGTTTGTCCATGAGTGTTTTTTCAGATCAGCCACAGTTTCTGAAGATGTTTTTTCAGCAGACAGTTCTGACAAGCTTGATTGTTCTGGTTCAGAAAATGCCTAATTGTGGGATTCCATTCCACTGATCCATGCTATGAGTCTCCTTCAAGGTCGAACCCACCATGCTGACGAGTCCCAGAAGCCGCAGGTGGTCTGCGATCCTCATAAATCGCCTCCACCTTACGGTTTAGCTCGTAAACCAGATGATTTAGAGTTCCTACTGCACGGACCAAACCTTCACACTGACTCAGAAGCTTTTCCATGGCCGAAACTGCTGCCGATGTCTTCTTCAAAAATCGATAAAACAGAGCCCCGCCGATGCCAAAAAGCAGAGTCCCTGCTATCATAATTCCAAATATGTAAACGTCTTTAACATCCTCTTGAGACAGAACTGAGAGGCACATCATCTGCCACACTCCCCACGAATCCATGACGTACCCCACAGCGTGAGTCTCAGCTGGACACGCCGGTTCTCCAGGACCTTGTCGCTTTGATGAAAAAATCTTATCAATAGAGTTGAACGCCCACAATACCAAATCCATAATCTTAATTTATGTTCGGGAGATGTGAACCAGGCACTTCAGACACACAGAGAGCAGAGGAAGGAAAAACGGGGGAGGAAAGACAGAAGCAGCCACCTCGATGAGAGCCAGGGAGGAAAAAAAAAATGTCTAGGAGTTTACCATCTTCTCCTACAGTAAGCTGCCTGCAAATTATCAGAACTACCTGCAGACTTACTTATCCTCCTAACTGTCTTCCTTGCTCTTCAGGGTTCCAGTCCTTCCCACTGGGGTTGCAGTTCTACTGTTTACCTATTTTCACTTTTGTAAATAAACACTGAAAACTTAGTACGCATCTTGGAGTTGCTTATTCGGTCACAACTACTATGGGTATTAGTAAAAATGCCACAGACTACACCAACATGCCTGGGGGAGTTTTTTTTCTGTTTGTTTATTTAGTTTTTACTCTGTGTGTGTGTATTTTTCTTTTTCTTTTGGCTTCGCTCTTCTTTAGGGGTCGTCACAGTGAACTAAGTCGCACAAAGACTTGGAAATTATTTTTATGCTTGATGCCCTTCCTGACACAACCACAGACCACTGAGCTACCACAGCCCTCTGTGTTGAGCAGAGAGCTGCCATCTAGGGCACCCGGGGGGAGCAGATGGTGGGGGTTAAGGGCATTGCTCAAGTGCCCAGAGTGGGAAAATGAGGGTGGAAACAGGTGTGTGTTCTTCACCTATCCAAACCACATTTTGAAGTTGTCGGTACTGGGAGTTGAACCAGTGATCTTTCGATCACAGGCCCACCTTCTCTAACCTCTGC